ACTTTCTAACCTACTAATGCCATCAAATAAATGGGTGCCACTATTTGAGGAGCACATTTATAAAATTGAAAAGATGGATACCAATGTAATGTTGAATGAAATTGGTCACAAAATGCTTTCTAGATCTGCAATGTTCAATAAGGTAACCACTAGCCACATGTGACTATATACATTTAAATTGAAATAAATTAAATTAAAAATGCAATTCCTCTGTCATACTAGCCACATTTCTACTACTTAGTAGTCAGCTGTAGCTTGTGGCTGTTATATTGGACAACACCAATATAGAATATTTCCATCAGCACCGAAATTTCTTTTGGAGAGTACTGACCTAGAATATGAACTTATTTTAAATTAACGTATAGGGGCACCTGGGTGGCTCAGTCAGTTGGGTGTCCGACTTAAGCTCAGGTCATGATCTCACAGTTTGTGGGTTCGAGCCCCATGTCGGGCTCTGTGCTGTCACTGCAGAACCTGGAGCCTGCTTCAGATTCTGTGTCTCATTCTCTCTCTGCCCAATTATGCTCTGTCTCTCTCTGTCTTTCCAGAATAAAGAAATGTAAAAAAAATTTTTTAACTAAAGTATATATATCAGATATCTTCATGTGTATGTATGTGTATCCATAAATTAAAGGGTTCCATCTATTATATAAGATTTTTACTTTTAATTTTTATGAAATTCAGCTATTAACTGGACATGAAATTTTAGAATATTTGAAATTACCACACTCCTTATAGAAATCTGTATTTGGTCACAGTGTTTACTTTTTAAAATACCTGCCTCATAATGTCTGTTAAAAATCCTTTATCATATGGTCCAGCAATTCACTTCTGGATATATAACCCAAAGAATCGAAAACAGAGATTTTAAATATGTATTTGTAAACCCATGTTTATCATATAATTTTTCACAAGAGCCCAAAGATGGAAGCAACCTAAGTGTCCATCCATGGATCAATGGTTAAACCAAATGTGGTATATGCATATAATGGAATATTATTCAGCCATAAAAAAGAATGAAATCTTGCCACTTGTAATGACATGATGGATGTAGAAAGTATAGTGCTAAGTAAAATAAATCAAGGGATGCCTGGCTGGCTCTGTCAGTAGAGCATGCAGCTCTTGATCTCGGAGTCGTGAGTTCAAGCCCCACGGTGGGGGTAGAGACTACTAAAAAAAATAAGTTAAAAAAATCACATGTTAAAATAAATCAGTCAGAGAAAGACAAATACCATATAATTTCACTTGTATGTGGAATTTAAGA